CCTAGTGACCACCACTTGCAACACACCGCAACATACGACCACTTGCAACACACCGCAACATACGAGACAGCTACAACAGGCAAGAAGCCACAGCCAAAAAAGTTTTCTCTAATAAATAATAAAATATTGGTTGTACACAAACGGTTGTACCAATGATCTCGTTAAGTAAAAGTAACAGTGTTTTATTGAAGTGTTAGTAGTTAATGAAGATTATTGTATCACGTGAAGATTAGACACCCCAGTTTATTTTACCTGATTATTAAACTCCCTAATGCTAACCTGATCTAACATAGCTTAATTCACTTAATGTAACTAAAGTAAAGTAAACTAAACTTAACTAAACTAAAATAACCTAACTTAACCTACCCTAACTTAACCTAACCTAACTTAACCAAATCATTCATTTAATATTTTTTTTTTCGTAACAAGGATCACAAGAAAACCTCACAAAGTTAGTGAAGAATGAATGTGTTAGTAGGTTAGGTTAGGTTAGGTTAGGTTAGGTCAGTTTGGTTTGGTTTGGTTATATTAGGTAAGATGATTAGGTTAGGTTAGGTTTGGTTAGGTTAGGTTAGGTTAGGTTAGGTTAGGTTAGGTTACGTGAAAAAACAAAAACAACAAACAAACATAAACACAAAACAAGTTCACCGTGAGGGAGAAAAAAATATCTTTACTCGAATTTCTTTGTTTTAGTCCGGAAATTGCATGAACCGAGTGGTAGCCGGGGGGGCGTGGCCAGGCAGGTGCGCCACACAGGTAATCACGGGCGAGGAAGGTAGCCCACTGACCCACTGAGGGACTCCTTCCAAGGACCTCCCCTCCTTCCCCTCCCCCCTCCCTCCGCTACTAGGACTCTAAGCAGGTTAATTCACGTCTTGCATATGAATCCTAATATCGGAGAAGGAGGGGGAAAGGGAGGGGAGGGGAGGGGAGGGGAGGGGGAATAGGTGTTACTGCTGGATTTGTGAACGGAAGTATAACATAGGGACACTCCTTCTGAGGTCCAGGCCACCAGGACTCTACACCGCGGCGAGTTCGCGTCCTACATATCAGGGAAAGGAGTGACGGAAGAGGTGGGAGGTAGGAAGGGGTGGGAGGTAGGAAGGGGTGGGAGAGGGGGAGGGTGAGAAGGAAAACATATACTTTAGGACTTGTGATAACATTGAAGGACTGTCTCTTATCGTATATAGGGGAAAAATTATCCTATTAGCTTTCACATATTGTACAAGTCCTATGGGGAGAATTGAGGAGGAGGAGGAGAAAGGGAGGAGGAGGGGGTGTAAGGGCAGTCCAAGGATGCTACTTTAGGACTAGCAAGGAGGAGGGTTAGAGCACGTCACCACTGAGCCTGGTTCCCTACATCGGGTCCTTCGAGTACTACTGACGAAGGTTGGTGAGTCTGGTCATTTGGTCTAAAGGGAGGGAGGGAGGGAAGGAGAGAAGGAGAGAGGAGAGAGAAGAATGGAGAGGCGAGGACGAAAAGAGAGAGAAGGAGGGAGAGAGAGAAGGAAAGAAAGAAGGAAGGAGAGAGGAGAGAGAAGAATGGAGGGGCGAGGACGAAAAGAGAGAGAAGGGAGAAGGAAAGAAAGAAGGAAAGAGGGGAAGGAAGAAGGGAAGGAAGGAAGGAAGGAAAGGAAGGAAGGAAGGAAGGAAGGAAGGGAGGAAGGAAGGAAGGAAGGAAAGAAGGAAGGAAACAAAGAAGAAAGAACAGAAGGAGAGCGGGATAGGACATAAGATCACTCCTTATCCTCCAAGAGAAGGATACAGAAGGACTGGTCTAGAGGGAGAGGTCGGGGTCACTCCTCACAAGGACTCCGCAGTAGGATAAGGATGGGTTATGACCACTTCAGGAGAGGCCCCGGGGGACATGGGAGCTGTTTTTCTGTGCCCGGGGTAAAGAGGGTTGTGGTGGGTGGAATGTGGCTTATGTGGTGGCTTTTGGGGCTTACACACACACACACACACACACACACACACACACACACACACACACACACGTAATATTTTTCGTAGATATATACACTATTTTTTTTGCCAGGACACAAGACGACCACCGCCCACCCTCAAGGAAGGCCAGAAGCCACACATACACACACAAAAAAGCCATGTTATATGTTCATTCTTTTCCCAGGATGGTGGACGACAGGTGTTGGTTGCCCCCCCCCAAAAAAATAATGACGGGAAACAGAAGATAATTAGCAAAGGCGTGATAAGAAGGAGGAATTAGCAAAGATCCGATAGAAATTAATATAATAATTACCAGTATTTGATAGAACGAGAAGAGGAATTGGCAAAATCTTGATAAAAACGCGAAACAAAGAAAGATTAATAAATAATAGATAAACCAAAAATACGAGAAAATTATAGAGAGGAGAGACAAACAAAGATAAAAGAGAGAGAGAGGGAGGGGGAGAGAGAGAGAGAGAGAGTAAGAAGGGTAGATTGGAAAGAGGAGGAAGACGGGGGAAGGAGAAGAGAGAAAAGGGAAGGAGAAGGGAGAAAGGGGAAGGAAAAAGGAGAAGGGGATAAGGAGAGGAGGAGGAGGAGGAAGGGTAGAGGAGGAGGGCGGGAATAAATAAAGAGAGGAAAGAGGAAGAAGAGAATAAGTAAAGAGGGAAAGGATGGTCGTTCCCTTGGCAGGACCGGACACCTCACCCCATCCACTACCACGCAAACGACCCACCTCGCTACCACGACCTCTCCGCTACACCGACCACCTGGTACCACTACTACCACCACCACCACCATCACCACCAACCACCGCCAACCACCACCTAAGGCGACCAATCCCAACCACTACCACAATCGCTACCATCTACGACTCCTGCAGGCAACAACCACCACTATCTCCGACACAGCTGCAACCACTCTTGACCATCACCACTACTACTACTACTACCACTACTACCACCAATGACCCCCCAAGCAACTACCACCAATACCTGTACTACCACCAACCTCATTAACACCTGCGGCTCCTGACATTCACCACCACTACCACCAATCCTTGACGACAACAATCACTACAACCATCGACGGTTCTCTAAACGACAACCACTATCTAGGTCCCCATCTAACAACACCTACAACCACACCTAAGAACCACCATCGCTTACAACCTGCTCAATAACAACCACTATCTCATATAGAAACACTAAGTTAAGCGTAGATATATTAGTATACTCATCATTGTGTTATATAGCGGACCCGATAGAACGACGTCTATTATATGTATACGGTATATTATGTGTCGTGTCCTGTCCTGCACAAAGGCTATTGTTGGTCCCTCCCAAAACACATTAACGTCTACACAACACTTGTTCCTGTGGTGGTGACGTCATCCACACCCCTCCAGACAATGTCATCTCCTCACACACACACAACGATAGATTCTCCCATATACCATAGATATAATTAAAACTTAAACATACTCAAGAGAAATGTATTCAACTAAAATTGAAATATTAAAATAATCTTCGAGTGGCACAACTTAAGGGGGAAGGGGGGGAGGGAGGGGGAAGGGAGGGGTGGTATTCTTTAATCTAATAAAGAAACAAATCATAAAAAATGTGGCTAAAAATAATGGTTAAGAAATAGTGGTTAGTTGTGGGGGCGGGAGGTGGAGGCCCCTGCAGGCGTCAGGTATTAGGGCGGTGGGTAATGTTGTGGGCGCGAGGTCGGACGGTCGAGGCCTCGGGAACAAATGTGAGTCTTCCCCCTGGCGCCGGCCCGCTATGGACAGGAAGGGGCGCCAATAAAAGAAGCCAGGCGCCGGGGACGGGCCAAAATACGGCCGTCGGTGGGCTCCGTGTTATCGTTCGGCGGTCTGGGGTCCCGTGTGATCATTTGGCTGTGTTGGGTGGAGAATTATCATCCAAGAGAACCTTTCTTTATTCTCTACTCTCGGGGTCTTAAGTGTACGCGAGGTCTTGTGTCCATCACCTGACGTCACTGGTTATCTAAAGTAATGTCGAATTATCTATTTACAGTTGGATATTTTTTCTCCCTATATGAAGGACATTTCTCCCTAACAGACGGCATGACAGATGACTGTTCCTCAAACATGATGAATGTCACTTGTGAGGAGGCTAAGTGCTCGCTGACGGCCCTCTCAGACCCGTCCCCCTGTCGCACCCATGGCGGAGGGAGGAGAGCCGGCGACGACGGAGGAAGTCATGGTAGCGTTGTTGATAAACCAGGAGCAGTAAAGGGAGGGCGGCAAATGGAGGAGGAGGAAGAGAAAGAGAGGTGAGGGCAGCGAGGGAGAGAGGAGAGGAAGAGAGAGGATATGAGAGGGGGGGGGGGTGAAGAGGAGAATAAGATGAAGAGGAAGGTCCGGAGCCAAACACGGCCCCTCAATTAGCCTTATGATCCAGAACCAGGGCGTCCAGCCATCGCGGGTTTGTTTTGGTGGCACCGCCTCTGATTTACTCCGACGCTCATCGCACAGTAATGAAATGGAAGACGCCAAGCGATCACCCGTGGAGAAATTATGGCGCTTACTGACGTTTTTGGGAGCAGGAAATTGAGCCTCTGTGTTGGCTGGCGTATACTAAATAATGTTGAGAGATAACATACTATGCTGAAGGTAGAGATTTACTGAAGATCCTCCGCTCCGCCCCTCGCAATCATAGGAAGTTACGCAATATATCCCTTTTTAATTCGCGGTAACCCGATGAGCGAGGAGCGGCGGGCTAATGGAAAATATATAACGGTGTTCCAGTCACCACAGCGTGACCTTGAGGAGCAACATCTGGCCATATTTAGAAAGTCAGACCTTTAGCGTCGGGGTCCAGTGATGTTTGGGGGTTACATCCCGATGTTTTATAACAACAGTATCTGAGTAGAACTTATCGTCGAGTATTAGCGATATTTGTGGCGCTGGTCGACGCTCTACACTCGGCGCGGACAGTATCAAGGAAGTCGTTGTCAAGTACTCGAGTCGTTATCTATCAATACTCGTCACCCCACCTGATACAGAAGAGGGTTAGTCTACTCACCGGAGTCTGTCGTGTTAGCCTCGGCGTCTTGCGTGCTGCGAGGTTTTTTCCTAGCAGGGGCGTCGTCTTCGTCGTCTCTCTTGCGCTTCTCGTCGGCCTTGCTGTCGTCCCCTTCCTCCTTGACGGTGGCGGGACTGGCCGGGTTAGAGAGGCCCTCGGAGCCCACGTCGCCATTGTGGTCTCTTGGGTTAGGCGGGGCGCTGGTGGGGGCGTCCTGGTCACCCGAGGACGCGTCTTGGCCACAGGGCGCGGTGGGGGCCTGGCAGTTGTGAACCTTGTGCTGGATGAAGCGTAGGATGTCCGCCAGCAGGAAGTCCTTCTGACACACCCCACACGTCAACACGTCGGCACACTCGCCTGGGCCGTCACCTGCAACACACACACAACATTAACACCAAGACAAAGGCAAGGTACAAACATGGCAACACACATAAAAACACTTCACTATAATATAAACATCAATTCTCATTATGGGATGTTTATAAAAACACTCAGTACATGACATTTCATTATAAACTCACTAATAAACAAGTCGACCAGCCTGAGGCGACTAACTTCATCACAAGAGAAGATGAAGTGAAACACAGAACAACAAGAAGGTGTGTTAAAGTAACTGGCAACTCAAACGCTATTCACAAAGGTTCGATAATTGTCTTAATATCTCGAAACTGATCTAGGAGTATTCACAAGGGCAGTCAGAAGCTTCGAACATGATCCTTAGATGTTGGAAAACGCGCCTTGATGCCCCGAACATGATCTATGAGTGTTCGACAGCGTGGCCCGAAGCTCCGAACATGACGCATGGGTGTAAAATCGAAGCTTTGTCACTGTCACGGCGGCATTATCAGCGCGACGCCCCGACTCACCGCTTATCTGTCGCTCTTTTAAGGTTATTGAATTTATCGTTTATTTCCGGGTCACTTGACTGTGCTCTCGCTCTGCTATATAATAATATATAAATATTTTTTTCTCGGTTTTCTAATCACCAAAATTTCAAATTCTTCTTCCTATTACTATTATTATTATTATTATTATTGTTATTATTATTATTATTATTATTGTTGTTATTTTACTGTATTATTAATGTGTTAATTGTGGTATCTTCAGTGTTGCCTTTTATGTTTATTATTATTATCATTATTAACATTATTCATTGTTTTAAAGACTAATTACTATACTGTATATCTATACCTTTTTTACCTTTATTCATTATTTATCTATTTCTACCTGTGTTATGTACTGCCTACCTGAGTTTATTTAATTACAGTCATTAGTTAATTTGTATAAGTTATTACCAGAGTATTAATGTCACCTGTATTTACATTCTACTGTTTATCTCTTTATCACAGTGCGGTCAGCAGCCGTCAACACTCACTGCTGCGGTAGAGAGGCTAGCTGGGCCATCATTGTGGGTACGAGTGGTCATCCATGTGAAAATACATCATTAACAAAGTTCACATGGACTGAGGTGTCGCGGTGGTCTTACAATGGGATGAAGCCCCGGGCGATATGACGAATTGGGTGAGGGTGGGGGGAGGGGAGTGGGGGGGGTATTGTCGCCCACCACAACCACCAGATCTCACACTTGAAAAGAAAAATAGTCACTGGGGTCCAATTTAAAAGTGGCACCCCTCGACAACTGTCCTGATCGATCACCGGGCTGGGCCGCCCTCGTAAGTCTGCCACAGCTGCTCGTGCATCTCTGACAACAACCGATAGATGGCGGCATGCGACCCCCCCCCTTCCTCTATCTCGCAGTGTCTCCCTCTGTGAGAAAGTCTCTCGAAATTACGAGATATGCTAAGCTGATAATATGATTTTCGATTCGATATCTGAATATTCATCAGTTTCGGCCTCTCCCTCCTTCTCCTCCTTCGCCTCATTTTCCCTCTTGGCCGCAGATAGAGTGCGGCTGCGGGCGCCCGAGGGGTGACCACAGCGGGGGGAGAAGTGGGGAGGGTGGGGAGGAAGGCTGGAAGGTGGGGAGAGGAGGAGGGAGGGTTGACACCACAAGTCCCCACCAAATACAACACAATTAGCAAAATACGGCGTTTATCACACCCTTGGTACTACCCTGGAGGCGAGGTGTTGCTGGTGGAGAAGTGGGTGATGGAGGGTGGATAATGGAGGCGAGGTGTTGCTGGTGGAGAAGTGGGTGATGGAGGGTGGATAATGGAGGCGAGGTGTTGCTGGTGGAGAAGTGGGTGATGGAGGGTGGATAATGGAGGCGTGTGTGTGTGGAGGAGAGGTGGAGAGTAGATAGGTGAATGGAGGAGGGCTAAGTGAGGGATGGGCTGGGCGGTAGAGATTGATTATAGACAAGATGCTGTATCGTCCAGCAGAGAGTGGAAGGAAGAAATGGCCGAAGGACGAATAGTACTGGAGGATAAAATGACGAAAAGAATGATAATAGAGAAAAAAATTAAAGTATAAAAAAAATAAGATTGGGAGACGCGTAGGATGGAAGGAGGAGTTGATGAAGGGCGTGGTGATGGGGGGAGGTAGGAGTCGTGGGGGGTAAGGAGGAAGGCTTGGGTTCGAGATGGAGGACGAGGAGTAAGGAGGCTTGGAGGGGAGGATGGATGACGAGGATGGAGGACGAGTAGGATTGTCCCAGCCAGGAGACAAGGAGGAGAGCGTAGTGAAAGATGAGCATCTCCACCTTGCCAAGTGACCGGGAAGGAATTCCATTTATCACTGCTGCTTGGAGCATCTTCGGCAAATACTGACCCAGATGGAGAAAATGGTCTTAGAACCAAAAATCACACCCGAGTCGAGTTTCTCATCCTAATCACTTGGGCGACTTTTTATTTCTTGTGCGTCGGAAATGGACTAAAAGGTTTATTTTTTTAATGTCTTATCGTGTGAGGGAGGTTCTAGAGAGAGAAGGAGGGAGGAGGAGAGAAAGAGGGGAGAGGGGAGAGGGGAGAGAGAGATATAGGTCTCGTAAAGCAAACAACGCACGAGGTTGCTAAGATTCGTTTAGAACAGAAACACTAAACCAAAAATCTGATCCAAATAAACAAGACCTTTTCTTCTCCACTGGGCGGGCGACTTTCATCTTAAAATCTCCCTCACATAAGGATGTTTTCTCCGCCGGCGACACCCACCGCCGGCCACCTCGAGTCCTTGTGACATTCCTGCCCAGACATTTGAGCCTAAAATCACCGTGATGGTCGTCCCTTCTAGCTAAACACGGGAAATACGGCCGGGCTCTCCAGGCTGTCTTGTCTGCTTGTCGGACCCCCAGAGTGGCATCAGAGGGGCCCTTGACGAGGACGACGGAGCCTTAGTGAGGTCGAAGGGATCCCTTGACAACGGGGTTCCCTTGAAACACACTGACGAGGAATGGAGCCCTAGACGACGTCAACACAGCTCCAGTGAGGTCACGAGTCCCTCTAAAATTCAGCCAAGTCAGAGATAAAAAAGTTTCAAAGAAAGTTCAAACACATTTATGCTTAATGCGGTGGGAAACTCACTTGTTAAATAAGCAGAGACTTTTTTTCGAATTAAGACCGTCCATACTAACACTAGAAGAGGTCTAGTGTGTCCCAAAGACCGCAACAGACGTCTAGGAACAATATCTAGTCAGCAATCACGAAACAAACTTAGGAGGTCCAGTTTACTGAGACGTCACCTGTAGGAGGACTAAGAGCCTAGCTAGGGTGGTGTCCAAACCCATGGTGGCCGGGTCTGAGGGACTAAGGACAGGGCGGGTGGCTGGTATGGTGTTTGTTTTAACCAAGGGACTCGTCATCACTTACACTGGAGGTCCCTAAGACGGACGGCTCAATAAAGACGTCACTCACCGCTACATTAGTCATCCGTTAGTTTCTCTACCGTCCACGTCTACCGTCAAGAACAAGCGGCGCTCCTAAACACACAAGTAAACAAAAGAAGCAGATGTGGGTTGTGTCCAGCAGAGATGACGTGATGAACAATTGTAATCTCCCATCAACACAGTGACACCCTCCCTCCCCCCCTCCTCTCAGACTCAACAACTCATCCCCCCACTTACCCCCTCCCCTCTCACCCCTCTCCCCTTCCCATAAGCCACCTCCACGCCCCTCCACCCACACACGGTCTCATTTTATCTAATAAAAGCCCCTGTGTGGTCAGTGTTTGTTTTGTGAATTTGCATAATTGTGTCAGACATGTAACTACAATCATGACGCCGGTGTGAATAGACATATTACTGTGGATTACCGTCGCTTTGGACTCGGTAAACAGAAATAGACATTTATCACTCCCGAAAAAATATTACATTTGAGCATCACTTTGATTCCAATATAAATAGTTTTTGTGTATTAATGACAAACACAGACAATACACGGAGCCATTTTCTCCATTACATCACCTGTATAACGACCTCTGTGTTTGTTGTCTGTATGTGGCGTCAACAAATACACACATACAGACACCCAGCCTCGCTACCTAGACCTGTATCTCTCCCCCTTATAGTGTCAGGTCAGTTTACGTCCTTCAGTAGTTTTAGGGAGAGTGTCGAGGGCCATGAGGCAGAGGGTGGGTGGGTGGCACGCAGTCTAGAGGTGCCAACCATCGTTTACCACCTCGAAGTCGGTGTGGCGGGCGCTCGGAAGGGGCGTGATGAGCTGGCAACTGACACAAATGGGCGTAAGTACACTTTATTGAGCAGCAGTGTCAGGCCACGCGCCCACGACCCTTGCCGGGGGCGGAGGAAGGGTTGGGGTGGAGGTGATGATGATTGGGGGGGAGGGGGTGAGTTGGTGGGGGGATGTTGACGTTGTTCTGGCAGCGTTGACGTGGTGGTGCAGGTGTTGGTGTAGTGGAGGGAAGGATGTGATGATGGAGGAAAGGGAGAAGGAAGTGGAGGAGGAGGAGAGGTGGTGTAAGAGAGGGTGTTGTTGGTCAGGGGGTAGGAGAGGGGGAAGAGAAGAAAGGCGTTAGAGGGGGAGGTTGACATGGTTGTGGCAGCGTTGACGTGGGGCTGCAGGTGTCAGTGTAGCCCTGGTGGGAGTGTCGTTCCTGATAGCTGAGTGTTGAGAGGTGTTATTGTTGTTGTGATAATATCGTTGTTTGTTGTAGCAAAGTTCAATGAGGTGTGTGTGTGTGTGTGTGTCTGTGTGTGTGTATATCTTGACGTCAACTTGCTGCCTGGCTGTACTGTTTGTGGCCTGTTCGATACTGTTCTATACATCATCATTATTATTCACTCAGGAAGGCGGAAAAGGACACACACACACACACACACACACACACACACACACACACACACACACACACACACACACATACACATAAATATACACCGTGTATATATGTATGCATATATAAATGTATAATATATATTTTTTTAATCATATAGGAGCGGATGTTGATGCTCTTTT